ACAACCATTGGACCGTATGATGGATTATGGCTTGGACACTTTATGCCGTTTGTTTATAACTGTGACCTGTCTTTTTCCTTTCAGTGGATTACATTAGTACATTGTACTGTATATGGCCAAGATATTCAGCATAAATGATGTGTTGTAAACAACATTGTGTTGGGCTAGTGGTAAAAAGGTCTGGGTATGTGCCCGTCCACCCTAGGTTCAATCCACATTGGGAGGGACTATTTACATTGCTAGGGTTCCCGGCCAAGAGGTGAAAAACACCTCTATATAAAAAATTTTACCAAAAAAAAAAGAATGTGTTCTGTTCAGATAGTCTACTCGCTTTTGGAATATTCTTCACAGCAAAACTGGACCATGAAAAACATATTTTAAGCATAATTATATGCTATGGTACTCCGTTTCTCTTTGTATTTTTCTCAACAACAAAAAGACTATCAGCAAAACCAAATTTGGAACTCATACTCTATGAAGAAATTTTTTTTCTTTAAAATTTCTGTTATCTTGTTTTTGTTTATTAAGTTTCTGATGTTATTTTATATTTTTAGTTTATCTATTATGTATCGATTGTTTTTTATTTGATTGATTTTTAAAGGAATTGATTTCGTTCTTTTTTTTGTTCTTTTGAACGTATAATTATTTATTTATTTTTAGTAGTCATGACCATTTTGATAGCTTATTAACTTAAAACTAATTAGGTGATCCATGAAAATTTTTTAAAAACAGTAGTCCTAGGCGTTTGCCAAGCCTGCCTAGCCTCTGGACGGATAGACCAAGTCTGTCCTTCGTGAACCAAACTTTGTATATTTCTTGTGCATAAACCTAAAATAAATATTAAAACATAGTTGAAATGCTAGTAAACATATGGTTACAGAAAAAGCCTTGTGGCAGAATTCACAAATTTGGTTATAGCTTGTTTATTTGTCAACACACTAATTGAGGTGCATTATATTTTGAGACCTATATATCACATGATACACCCCCAAGTTTAAGTTTAGTTTAACATATTCTTAACATATACCATTTATGATTTATACGATAGCTATGGCCATATTAACAACACTAAGCATTTATTTATGACACTTTGTAGTTATATTGAATCTATGGTTGGGAAAGTTGAATTTTAGTATCAATCCTCTCATTTTTTATTATTCTCTATTAAGAAATTCCCTCGTTATACTTCTATCATAAATTTTGGACAGTAAAGCGAATCACATATGAAGTTTTATCTCCATTTTACAAACAAATTGATAATTAACAGTCTTTCAGTGTTACAATAATGATAACTACAACAAGAGCGTTGAAACTCAAAAAAAAGCACCAGTATATAATACAACTAGAAGAAATCAATATAAATGAAGAAAATTCTCTCTCTCTCTGTTTTTTGTTTTGTTTATATTTTAATGCAAATTTTTTCCATATATAATAAATAGAGGTTATGCTGAACCGTAACTTGGGCTATAAGATTTTTTGTGTGTGTTTGATTATACTTTTTTAGATTAAATTTATAAATGAATGATGATCATGTTTTTACCTGTAATTAATTTATTAGAGGTTTGGATTACAATTTACATGTAGAGTTTGTGAATTTGTTTTGTACTAAAAGCTATTAAAAAAAATAGTCAAATGGAGTTTTATTTGCTTATTTTCTCAAGTCAAAAAAGTTAAGAAATTAATAAAAAGGTAATAAATTTTAACCTATTTGACTATAATGATTTGAAAATGCAAAATTTGGTATATAAGTAATAGAAAGTAGAAAAAATAGTCAATGAAAAATTTTATTTCATGTTTAAATTTATATTAATTAACTTATAAAAATTTGGTAAAAACATTATTAAAAGGAAACAAATCTGCTAGATTTTAAAGTATCTGATTTAGATGGTAAAAATCATGCAATTTTGATCCAACGGTCATCGTTTATTAGAAAAATTGATACAGAACCATTTCAAAATATTATAAATAGGAGTTTGCAAGCTTTACATTTTTCTTACACTTACAAAAAACAGATAATAATCTTTTTACTATTTCAAATATTACTTTCATAAGCTTTTGCATCTCCTTTCCTCTCGGATTTTTGTTGTTTTTCTTTGAATCGTAGTCCTCTTCTTCTAAAGGTATGATATGATGCGATGTAATTTTTTTTATTATTTTTTTTTTGAGGTTGTACTCTAAATCAATATTATATCTATACATATATTGTTTTATGTTTGTATTGTGATGTATGCTGTATTTATCGTTTGATTAAGAATTCATTTTTAGGTAATGCTAATTTTCAAATCCAGTTTCTTCGGTTAAAACATAAGTTTTTAATTAAAGATGAGAGTTAGTTGTTTTCTATACTTTGATTTATTTTCACGCTGAAATATATATTCTATCATCATACCCGTGTTTGATAAAAAGATTTTGAACCACTTTCTATTCTCTTGATTTTTCGTTTCTTAAAACCCTAGTTCTGAACAATTTTCTCTCTTTTGTTATATAAATATTGACTATCTAATTATTTTTTTTTTCCGGATTGATGTAGGAACTGAAGTTATTTTATTTAGGAATTGAATCTTACATTTTATTGCTGTTTAGAATTCATTTCACTTCTTGTTTTCTAGTAGCCAATTTTGTCTTTCCTTTTTATGTAAATCAATCAATAATTTTTTTTTAACAAATATTTCAAAAACAAAATTTAGCAAAAAGTTCAAATTTTGTTTTTAAACTTTCTCTTTTCCTTGATCGATCTATTATGCATTTAATATTGTCTTGTTTATTTTTGTTTTTTAAAATCATATGTTTATTGATGTGAAATATATATTTAGTATAAAACTTGGAATTGGAAATGTATTTGGCAAAATAAAACAAAAGAACAAGAGTGTAACATGTTTAATATTAGTTCGTTTTAAGCTAAACCAAAAACCTAGACGTTTGTACTCCCAATTAATACAAATATAATGATCATAACTGATCACAAACTAAACTTATTTTTCTGTTTATGCTTGAAGAGAAACATGAGTTCTCAATTCTCTGTATGTATTTATCAACCATATTTACGCTTCTGCTCAATTCAAAGTGATAACAAAACTACTTTTTAATGATAGGATTTTTGCAATGGAAAGAGGTGAAGGGAGCCACAAGTTTCCTGGCGGAGAAGAACCTAACACCAAAAACGCCTCTAACAACGATAATTCTCCTGCTGATGTTGGACCTAGTAGTGGTCCGTTGAAAAGAGGACGTGGCCGACCTAAGGGCTCGCAAAACTCCAAGAAGTCGAAGCAGAGTGACAGACTGATAAAATGGGTTCCTCTCTTTCAAGGCAGTATTAATAAAGTAAATCAAGAAACCGGAAACGATGAACTTGTGAGTAGCTTGATGATGCGATTCAACGCTGTAAGAAGGCGTCTGAGCCAAGTTAAGAATGTCCGAGGTGAGGTTTCCACAGCTCTACGCACTTTTTGTGGGGCTACATGCAGTCCCCATTGGTACTAACTTCATGAAAGTTGAAGACAGCGGAGAGGAGAAAAGATTAGCTATTAGTGTTGTCTCTTCGGGAAAGAATGCTGACGAAGCTCAAGATCCCGATAGCTTGATCTATACAGGGTTTGGTGGTCAAGAATCTGATCAGAAGCTTGATAGGATGAATCTTTCGTTAGAGGAAGCTCTGAAGAAAAAAAGTGTTGTAAGGGTTATAAGAGCCGTGGAAGATGAAAAAAGGTCGCAAGGTAATGTATACATATACGATGGGCTTTATTCCATCACAGAAATGTGGGAAGAGAAAAGTTCAAGTGGTTTCAAGGTATTCAAATTCAGATTGGTGAGGCAGGCTGATCAGAAACCCGCCTTTGGACTATGGAAATCGATAGAGCAATGGAAGAAAGAGTTGGTTACAAGACCAGGTCTTGTTCTTGAAGATCTCTCTAATGGAGCTGAGAATCTAAAGGTTTCTCTGGTGAATGAAGTTGATGACGAGAAGGGTCCTTCCTCTTTTAGTTATATCACTTCTCTGAAGCACACAGTCATTGATGTTCCACCTATGGTTGATTTATGCACTTGTCGACCTAAATCCTGTTGTTCGAGGGATGATTGCCTTTGCGTTCAGAGAAATGGAGGTGAGTTACCTTATGTTGATAGAGTTTTAGTCACCCGTAGATCAATGATTTATGAGTGCGGTGACTCTTGTCCTTGTTCTAATGACTGCAAAAACAAGATGATTGGGACTGGTCTGAAATTCAGTTTAGAAGTGTTTAAGACGATGGATCGTGGGTGGGGTTTAAGGTCTTTAAATCCAATTCGAGCAGGAAGTTTCATCTGTGAATTTGCTGGTGATATTATACAACAAGGTGATGAAGTGACAGATGATTATATTTTTGATTCTTCACGGGTTTCTAAATCGTTTCAATGGAACTATGAACCTGAGCTTGTAGGTGAAGATGCTTCTAAGAAAGTCTCTGAGGTGATTAGTCGTCCTGCTATACCGTTTTTGATAAGTGCAAAGAAATCAGGAAATGTGGCTCGTTTTATGAACCATAGTTGCTCTCCCAACGTTATGTGGCAACCAATTTCTCGTGAAGAAAAGGGTGTATGGTGTATTCACATTGGGTGTTTCGCTATAAAGCATATTCCTCCATTAATGGAGTTGACGTATGATTATGGAGCATTTACAGGATATGGGAAGAGGAAAACTGTCTATGTAGATCAA